AAGCGAGGAGTACTCATATAAGCTAATACAATTATAGAGTTTACGTTACCTCTGTATATGAATATTGTTACCCATTTGACCATACATTAATCAAGTCCGGTGAGTGCTTTTAATTCTGCGCTGAGGAGCAATATTATTTTGATGACAGTGTGCACATTATCCAACAAACCTGTAATAAAAACATGAGCAAGCAAAACACCGAATTCCCAGCTTCTCATTGGTACAAATTTCGTAGAAATTGGGTACATGAGTCAAATTTTGAGGTGAGTCGAAGTTGAAACGTGGAGGTAATTAGGGACGGAGTAGTACTTCGAAGTACCGGTATTTGGTTCCACTGCATTTGGTATCAAATGGTAGAGGCAACACAATTTTCATTCCTCTCTATTTTATTGAGTATTGATTTATACAGTTTATTGTATCTAACATGCACTCCCATATATGATATATCCGGATAATTATCCGTTAAGTTCCCTCGGTATTGTCGCGGACTGTAAATTCATGTAAAATTTTATGAAGTGTCGCGAATTGCATGCAATTATATTTTTGATCAAATTATTTTGCACATTAATTTAACCGAATACAAACATAAAATTTTTGAAGGAGTGTCACGAATTGTTCACCTCAAAAACCGTGACCATAAAGTTCAAAACATTTAATTTCGATACAAATTTGAAAAGTACTCCAATCATGCTCAATGGTATGTCAAAAAAATAGTGGCATTTTATATTCTCTAGTGGTGCTATCAGCATTAAAAAAATCGTTCTCGTTCTGGAGCTACTGGGATTTGAAGTCATGGCCAAAACTTGACCAAAAACAGTGTCAATAATTGATGCATTACCTTAAAGTTAGTAATACTTGTACTCTGGAGGCTGCGGGAAATCGCGAAAACCGGTTTCGCCTGGGAAAAACCGCAAAACGTAATATAATTTTGAATGAAAAGTTGGAGAAGTCTTACAAGTCAATTTCAAATGAATAGAGCGATTTAGCAAGTCGGAAATTCAAATTCCCGACTTGCAAATTCGAATTTGTAATGCTTCGAAGTTCGAGCAAGTCGGTAAAATCACTGGCAAGAGCTGGTAAATTCAATTTCCCTACCGACTTTGCCGTGCCAAGTCGGAAAAGTCTGTGTTGCTGGCGCGATGGGAAGGAAGGACAGAAAGCAGATTCTGTGGACGGACGAAATGGACGAGGCACTACTTAAGGAGGTTGTACGACTAGGGCCATTTGAAGTAGGGCATGACAAAGTCACTGCAACGTGGGCCAAGGCAGCCGTTGCCATGCACGAGTACGATCCCAATCTCTCTGGCTGCATCTGCCAGGCCCGATGCGACACCATTCTCCACGACTTTGCCCGCGACATCCAGGCAAGCATGCGTGCCTCTGGCGTTTATGAAGACGATGACGACATGACAATGTTCAAACAAGACTTATTGGACATGCGCGAATACAGCAAGAGCAAGCGAACAAGAAAGCGCGAGAACGCGCTGGCCAAGCATTCTGCATCGTTGTACTTTGCGAGGTTAAACCGAACGTACGGGATGGGTATACGATCATGTCGGCCACCCCGACGGCGTAGCGCACGGAGCAGACGCAGCTTTAGCAGCATTGGGCATGCTGATTTCAAGAGGACTCGTGCCGCGGGTGTGATGCACATTTTGCTTTATCGTTATCCGTGTGATTTCGGATAATCATAGTGCAACTATCGAAGTGTGCGAGTCCATGTCCTCGAAGTCAAGTCTGGAATTTGACTCAAATTCCCGGCTTGCTAAATTGCTCTAATATAAAGTGTGTTCGAAATGTAAACAGCCCAGTATACACTTTATAAACTGAAAATTCAATAATTTGACCTAAAAAACCCTACCAAAACACTGTCGAAATCCTTCCATTTTTTTGTCCATAGACCTCTCACCAAGTTTTCAACGAATATGTAATCAGATTCATGAACTTCGTAACTTCGTATTGGTGAAATCACACCTATTGAAGTTTCGTCGGTTTCGTCAACCTTAAACAACCCAATCTAAACTAACTGTAACCTGGAATTCCACATCGCTTTGGCTCGTATAACAGAGCGCAACGTTGAGAGGTACGCTCCTAGATTAATGTAAACATATGTTTACATGTTGTAAACTGCCAATAGTATTCTATTTCCGTTTGAAAGTCAACCCGTCGATTTGAATACCGTTACGTATTGTGGGTTTTGCCCAGGCCAAAAACTAGTTTTCACGATTTCCCGCAGCCTCCTGTGCTTATCAATATACTACGTAGTTGTGTTCAGTACATTTGCCTCAAATTTTGAGTTTTACTTTTAACGTTACTTCGAAGTAATATACTACAGTAGTACTATGCATAGTAATGTACAGTTGGCATGGTGAGACTACTTGAAGTGGTAGTTGTTCTAGTAGGGAAAAATCCAATAACGTTACTAAATTTATGTAGTAGTTAGTGCATGGCCGACGAGCACAAATGGGTGAGAAGTGTACTAGTAGAAGAAGTCAATAAACCCCGAAGCCCCAATAAATCGTCTAAAAACCCCAAAGGGATGTCTGGTATCGTTATTTATGTACTACTGTAGCAATGGTTTAGCTGAAACTCGAGAATCAGAACTATTACTAGATACTGAAGAGTACATTGCCCACAGTTTATTCGTCGGCTTTTGCTTTTTTTTTTGACTTTTTTCCATCTTTTTTGTCGTGCTTGCGCTTCTTCTTTGGCGCTTGGTCGTCCATAAAGTCGGAAAACAATTCTTTGACCTTCTTTTTTCGCTCTAAAAAGGAAAAAATAAATAATCATTCCAGGACAAACAAATATCAGAAAAACCAACCACTTACCATGCGACGACAGCCACTTTTCGCGGTTCGACTTGAACTCGTGCACGTTGCAATGCGTGAGCACCATCGACGCAAAGTGACTACCCGCCAACTTTCCATCCACGGCGGATAATTCCTCGGCAATCGCAGTCTAACGGATATCAGAAATATATATATATTTATATATATAACCTTTTCAGCGACAGACACCACGTCAAAGCACTTGAGCACAGTAAAAGACCCGTTGCGGTCCAGCACGAGTGATCCAAACTGGCCCTGGAGCTTTTCAAACAAGGCCAGCTTAGCGTCTTGGTTGTCGCTGGCCCAAATCGGTTCCTATAGGTTGAAAGAATATATATCAATATATCTACATCCAGAGAAATATATTTGAATATACAAGATAAGTGTAAACGTACTACAAGACATCGGCTTCCTGTGGAATCCTTGGCCAATGCGACCAACTGCAGTGAGTTGAGCTTGAGGATACTACATTTCATTTATCTATATTAGATGAAACTTATCTATTCCAACAATACCTTTGCACCAACGGCACCGACACATCGCCGGGGAACTTAAGCAGTGTTTCGACGATGCGCGCCCCGGGCACATTCAACGTCAACCGCGAGTTCTAATTCCATTGCAATGTAAACCTCGACGTCAGCTCCATTCGTAGATAATACTTCATTTAAACAGAATTCATTTATATTGCTCTGAATTCATTTAATTCATCCCCACAAAACAATAAATGTACAGTAGAACGAGTATTGAGACAATCCGATTGCAGGAAATCAATATCAACATTGAATTCGAGCGTGACTTCAATTAGTGTGATTCAATTCACCACCAGACAACTTTTCACATACAAAATTCAGTACAAAGAATCGGTCGATAGATTATCAGCACACACAAGTCCAAATTATGGGTAAAATGATAATATAGATGAAGGTCACACCTGGTTATTGGACAGCTGGAGCCCGATGAGCGCCGACACGACGTCCCGCCGCGCCACTTCGGGTTTCGCGGCCTCCAACTTTTCAATCGCGGCTACCAGCGCCAGGAAAAAGCTCTTTTCCCGCAATTTGAAGCGTTCGCACAGTTCAGCGAGGCGCCAGATCACCCCCGCGCGATGCTGCACAAACATCGTCAATTACAATATATATATATATATATATATATATACCGAGGACAACAGGCTCCACAGCGCGCCTTGCAATTCGTCCAGCACGGTCTCTGCCTAGTATAAAAAGTACGGTAAGACATAACATGTATACAAGGAGCAGCCATACCAAATCCGAGGTCGGCGTGCGCTGGATAAAGTTCTGGACGACGAAATTCGAGATCGGATGCTCGGAAAACTCGAGCAACCGGCCCTGAAGACACCGCTCAAAAATAGCTGCCCACACGTCTTCGTCGCACGAGTGGCACACCTACCCAAACAGCCAAATGGTTCATTTATCACAGCTCCTAAACGATTCATCTATCATTCATTTATATTCAGCAACAGCAGTAGCAATATCGTCAACTCCACCCGATGAAGTATATATACACCGCATGACGAAATGACAGTTAAATTAGCAAAATCGATTGACCAATCAAAACCCACAACACTAATCTCACGTGGCCAATCCGATTCTCTCTTGTAACAGTGGACGTTATTGACATATAAAAACTATGTCCAACCAATCGCAATCGATGAATTTAGTGCATAATCAGCACACACAAATCCAACGTATAGCTGAAAATCTCATATAGCAATGTGCGACACCGTACGTACAGCCTCGAGAAAGTGGCTCGCGACCGAATCGGCTGCAAAGTCGTAGAAGCGCTGGCTGCTGCGCTCTGGGTCGTTCCACTTGAGCAGTTTGAAGATGACTTTGGACTGCACGGCGGACGGCGCCACGCGCACGGCCATCGACAGCACCGGGCCGGCGTGGGCGTCCGACATGAGCTCCACGAGCCTCCCGTCCGAGCTGCCCAGCACCAGCTCCAGCATCTCAGACAATGTATCCTCGAACTCTCGGGGCACGCTAGTACTATCAACATGGTTATGGGTATCTTTCGAATGGACATGGAATTAGTGTATGACAAGTATTAGTGTGATGACGGACTAGACTACAACAGAAAAGAAAAACAACCCGTGGATCTACAAGAGATCCCAATAAACGTGGCAGGGGTGAATGACATGAATTAGTGTGACAGACACGATATACAAAATTTAGTCGTCAAACTTTAATTTAGAAAATATTAATGTTTGTAATTCAATTATTGCCACAAATATTAAAAATATTTTATGGTAATTTTGTGTAAAATAAATCTAGTATATATGTATATATATATATATGTTCTAAAAGGTACATCAATGGCTACAACCCCGAAACCCCGAAAACTAGTATATATATATATATATATATATATATATATATATATATATTCTAAATGGTACATCAATGGATACAGATAGTCGATTCACCCCAGTTTCTAAATACAATTTTCACTGAATTCCATGCTATTTATGACTGACCTCTCGGCGGTGGTTTGGGCTGATTGGAACTGCAGGGCCTTGTGTTTGCCCTTCTTGCCGCGCTTCTCGAGCACTGGCGCCCGGCCCGCCAGAGCGCAGAAGACGGCGCGCATGACATGGCTGGCACTGACGTCGTTGATCAGGGTCAGCCACTCGGCCTGCACCTCCGAGCACATGGCCACGATCAGCGACGACATGGGCGGCACGTCCGCCGCGCGGTCGGGATCGTCGTCGTCGTCTGCCTAAACACCCAAAAATAGTGTTTGCGTCACGGATTGTACCATCGACACCAGAAAATCAAGCATGGAAGGGGTTTATGACGCTAAATAGTGTGACGACTGCACAACGCTAACACATATCGATCGATAGAAAAAACAATTGAACTGTCACAAGTATTGGCTGGCTAGGCTGGCATGCCAATCAAGTTGGACATACCTCGCCCTTGACTTCGTTGCCGACGATGGTGCCGACCTTGGACAGCAGGCGCTGTAGCACGTGGGACGAGTACCGGTTGGTCCACAAGTGGCTGAAGTACCCCTCCATCTTGTGTAGGAAGAAGCGCAGCTGCTGCGCCGACATGTGGTCCACCAGCACTTCGATGAACTCGCACGCGTGGCGGTCGGACGCGGCACTCGCTACGCGCGGCGCGATTTCCTCGAGCACGTTCCACAGCAGCATGCGACTGGTTTCGACGTCGCCGTCCTTGAGGTTTTCAAGGAACGACGCGTTCACTTCCTGGAGATACGCGAGCGTGTCCGGCTCCAAGCGCCGGGGACGCACGCGCCTACGAAGGAGACACACATGTTAGTCCCAAGATAAACACTATCACCGACGGATAGGCTACACGTACTCGGGTCGGCCATCCGATGGACGCGATGCTTGCGGTGGTTCGTCGTGGTCGCTGCTGCTCATGATGCTGGTGTCTGTATTATCTATCGTCGAATTGATTGGTGCAACTTCAAGAATGCCTTGGATTGGCTATAAATCCACCAATCCACGGCTCAATTAACCCCTTCGCTGGGATTGGTGGGATGACGAGCCCTGACGTGGCAGCAGGACGAAGCATCAAATCCCCACCTTGTTATCAGCTCCTGTTTTGTCTACATGGCAATTAAGCCCTGTACTGTATGCAGAGTTTGTATGCATATAGTACAGTAATACAAACTTCACTGTTATCATGTAGTATTGTTGTGACTGTTGGTAATAATATGGGCGACGTTTCACTTTGTAGAGCAGAACAACTGATTGCGAAAAGATGCCTGCGTTTTGCCCTCGGTTGGTGCTTCCTTCACGCGGCTCCTGTGACCTAACTGTGACATCGTTTAGCTGTGGTGATTTACTCAAAGGCGTGCCTGTCTGTGCAAAGTGCCAACTCGACGCCGTACGTACTTCACACCGTTCGGCTATTTTGTGGCCTACTAACACATGATGAAATTACACAGGTGACCACTCCATCGGCATCTTTTCACGCAGAGTCTAGTCCTGCCGTCGAACTGTCGCCAATCCTCCCGCCGGTCGTCCAAGCAACACTTAACAGCCCTCTTTGCATCCGAAAGCTCAAGAAATGCGGAGTGTGCTCCAACCCCATCGTGGGCGCTTCCCACTCGACGCGGAAGCTCGGGGGCGACCAAGTTACTTGTCACGATATTGTGCGTAACAGTGTCTATGCGATGTCGTTTGGCAGAGTAGCAGAGTGAACCATTGCCCTTCTATCCTAGTGCCTCACGTGTAAGCACTGCCGAAAATCTATTAACGACGCCGATCCTTTGGCTGTGCTGTACCATTCGGTAAAGTCGTCTTGTTTGTGTAGTATATCTCGTTGAAGCATGATATTGGTTAGGCTTACCACGAGACTTGTGCGGTGGGCTTGCGAGTGTGCCACGGTTGCCATGAGGTACGGGATAGTATTTATCCAAATAACCTAACATGCTATTGCATATATATGGTTGGTGGGTGTAGCCTATCGTGGGGAAAGCCATCGACGACGACTCGCGCTGGTTCCACAGAGTTTGCCACGACACACATGTAAAGGTGATGGCATCCGGGCCACCGTCTACAGTGGCAAGTTGCGGGGAACGAGGTTGGAACTATCTTATAGTTTGGTTGTGACTTGAACATGTAGTTCTTGCTTTATCGTCTGTGCAAGCCCCAAAAGCCCACTCAGACACAAGTGCTTTGAGCATCACCTACGCCGCGAATACCGAATCCTCCACTCAAATCACAAACCACGACGCGCTCGCCTTGGAGGGTAATGGCAAGGTCGAATGCTCCGACCAAGGAATCGAGGTCACTGGAACGCTAGACACCACCACCGATGTAGCCGAGCCTATTCGCCCTCATGAGGAGGATTCTACGAGTGACTTCGCGATAGATTTCACTACTGAGTCTGAACTACCCGTGAACGACACGTCTGTGAAAGTGTGGCCCCTTCAGATCAAACCGAACGTCGAGCCCCCGCCAGTCGTCAAACTCGACGAGCCACGTCAAACCTGTTCCGATAGTATCCAGTCGGTCCAGTGCCATTCCTGCGGACTTGACGTCCTGGACGACAGCGCCATGCAAGTCCCATCGGGGGACTTATACCATGAACAGGTAGATTGTATACACGGTTGTAGCTGTGTTTTGGACATGGATTTTTGGCACTTTGGTATTCTGCAAGACGATTTTACTAGTGCATTGTATCAATAACCATGTATAATATATGAGGATGTGTGCCGTAGTGCTTTGTGTGCAGCGCGTGCGCGTTGCCCATTTCCGACGAACTCAAGGGGTTTACTCAAGTTGACCTCAAGGTACAATTCAGAATCCATTGGCTACTTAAAGCTAAGACCAATATTAGATGTACCACCCGCCCTGTTATTACGCGCAAGCAGGGCGCGTTTGCCATGGATGCCACGACGTATGGTCCTTGGGATGTTATTGATTTCACATTACCTATAAACAATTATATTAGAAATATATACATGTATATTATATATAAATATGTAGGCGTTGGTGGATGGGACTGCCATCATGCATGCCATATCGAAGCGCTATCACCCGCGCTGCTTTCGCTGCACCGATTGTTCCACGGTCTTGACAAGTACGACCTGGTTTTGTCCATATATTTATTTGGGTTTCACTTGTTTGTTGTAGACGAATATTTGGTCGTGAACGACGACGTTGTGTGTCGCGAGTGCTATTTCCACCTGATCTTGTCCCAGTCGACACGAGAGGAAGCGGCGACGGCTGTGCACTCAGTCGTGGCCAGCGTAAGCCTCATCTCTCCCCGTCTTTCCATATCGAATGTATGACGATAGGACATTTGCCAACTGGACGTGGCCGCCGGGGAAAAGCTGACGATTGTATCGGACGTACGTCATTGAGTTGGATTGCTTTTAACAAACCTGACGGTGCAATATATATTAGGATCAAGGCGGGTGGTCCATTGCGAAGAGTGGCGACCACCGCGTAGGGTACCTCCCCAGCACCGCCTTTGAGATGACTCGTGTGGGCTAAGATAAGGCAATATCAGGACCGTAGCTCGACTAGAAAAATACGAGAATAACATGATCATTTTCATCTAGGCCCCTTTCGACCAAATACACAGATAAAACCGAGTTCATTTCGACCATTTTGGGGGCATTATACGTGCAACCTCTTGATTGTTCTGTCGAAAACAACGTATGAAGTTTTCGAGTGAAATTTCGTGTTGTAGCGTGTTTCTCGTTGGAATTTAAATCGATTTGATTGGCTACTTCAGATGAGCTCAAAATTATTAGCCAATCAAAACGTTTTCAATTTAATTCAACCAATCAGATCGATTGTGGATCGGTTTGGTCGGCGCGATTCGATTGCACCCCCTCCCCAAAATTGTATCAAATCGACAAGATCGTTGTCATTTATTAATTAATAGTTTCTACTTCATCGCGTGCTGCGGCCACTCGACATGCGCAGCTTGGTGCGTTTTAAAATATGGACCGGGTTGGACTTGTACTCGAGAAAGTTCTCCTGATACCCCTGCAGCACGAGCGGCGGCAGGACGCAGCACACGATGCTCAGGCCTATCGTGAGCCAGAACGTGGCACTGCCGAGTAAGCGTATCCACGACCCATACAAGTCGCCTTCCATGCCGTCGTACACTAGTGAGCACCCGACAAACGCCAGGAGCGATCCGCCGTACGCCATCACAGTCAAGTTGGTCCAGTAGCTACAAAATCAACATATTTAGAACAGCCCCAGTGTCTTTGGCTCAACGTAAGAGGCGTACTTGGTTTGCAAACTGATCGTGATGGACGTGACTAACATGATGCCAATGTACGTGGCGACGCCATCGGCGAACTGGTCGACGTGCAGCACGCCTTGGTGGTGGTCCAAAAAGTAGATCGGCATCAGAGTGAGCACCACCGCGTGGAATACACCGACGAACCCCACACTGGCCACTGTTGCCAGTGAAAACGACACCTGAACCATCAGGAACGTTGAGGACAAGCAAACACATACAAAAGCGAGGATACTTTGGTGTGGCCAATGTGGTACAGTTCTGGAAACTGCGTCGAAATGTGGTCGGGCAGGGTCTTCTCGACGATCGCGCGGGCCACCACGGGTAAAAACGTAAAGCACAAGTTGAACGCGGCAATGTACAGCGACGAAAAGTACGTCTAGAATCCAAGAATCATATCAACTATACGTATATACATGATAGGACACATGTCGAAAACGCATTCAATTTAGCGTAATACCCTTGGAAAACGATAGCTTACCGTGCCAGAGAACAGCGACACGGCGCCGTACACGAATTGGGGCGATGTGCACACGACGTTCTTGTACAAAAAGTAGTTGATGCACTGCGTAATCCTTAGGTACGACATCCGTCCTACCCTCGCAACATGGTTGGAATATTGAATTTTATCATTTTATTAATGTATATAGGACATGACAAACCGTGGTAGAGTAGAAGCCTGTCCAAGTGTCGGAACTGAGGGATCGCAAAATCGGCACTGCGCACGGCTTGGTTGCCTTCTTGGCCCATCACGCCGACCCCCACATGCGCCGCGCGGATCATCGAAATGTCATTGGCACCATCGCCTCTATAAGACCAACAGAACGTCAGAAATGACTTTTTAAAAGTAAAATTTTCATTGCAAAACACTCTCTAGGGGGATTCGTACACAGGGGTAGTCGATATTGGACAGAACGATGTCGCATGCATGTAGGGGTCAATCAATCGAATTGCAATTGGGCCAGCATTCGTGAATGAATGATACATAGTTTTGTTCTCCCCATCGACCGATATAATTGGACAACCAGAAGACAAGTTAGAACATATAATTGAAATTGGGCACGCACTAGTCCAGTTCAAATTGTAGTCCCAATCGACTGATAGTATATTGGACAGCCATAAGACAGTCCAAGTTTTGGCTGAAAGGACAATTTAATGGCGACTACTAGTACGTACACTGCCATGACAAG